CCACCCCCAAACCCCCGAATCCCAACCCCCATTCCCGCAATCCCAAATCCCAACTCCCGAATCCCAAATCCCAACTCCTGAAATCCCAAATCCCAACTCCTGAAATCCCAAATCCCAACTCCCGAATCCCAAATCCCAACTCCCAACAACTCCCAAATCCCGACCCCCTACTCCTGGATTCCCAAACTCCCAGAATCCCTGAATCCCAAACTCCCAGAGCCCCGGACTCCCGAAATCCCAGACTCCCGGACTCCCAGAATCCCAGAACTCCGGGCTCCCCCCTGGAACACCCCCCGTGAATCCCGGGATATGATATGTGTGTGTTTTCCCGTTTCCCACTGTTTCCCGTTGTTTCCTGCTGTTCCCCGCCGTTGTTTCCTGTTGCCGTTTCCCGTTGTTGTTTCCTGTTGCCGTTTCCCATTGTTGTTTCCTGTTGCCGTTTCCCGTTGTTGTTTCCTGTTGCCGTTGTTTCCCGCTGTCGTTTCCTGTTTCCCGTTGTCATTTCCCGTCGTTTCCCGTTGTTTCCTGCTGTTGTTGTTTCCTGTTGCTGTTATTTCCCGTTGTTTCCTGACTTTGTTCCCCACCGTTGTTGTTTTCCCGCTGTTGTCGTCCCGCTGTCGTTTCCCATTGTTGTTTCCCGCGGTTGTTGTTGTTTTCCCGCTGTTGTTTTCCCGCTGTCGTTTCCTGTTGTTTTCCCACTGTTGTCTCCCGTTTTTTTCCTGCTGTCGTTTCCCGTTGTCATTTCCTGTTGCTTCCCGCTGTTGTTGTTGTTTTCCCGCTGTTGTTTTCCCGCTGTCATTTCCCGTTGTTTCCCATTGTTGTTTCCCGCTGTTGTTGTTGTTTTCCTGCTGTCATTTCCTGTTGTCATTTTCCGTTGTTTCCTGCTGTCGTTTCCCGTTGTTTTCCCGCTGTTGTCTCCCGTTTTTTTCCGCTGTTGTTTTCCCGCTGTCGTTTCCCGTTGTTTCCCGCTGTTGTTGTTGTTTTCCCGCTGTCATTTCCCGTTGTTCTCCCGCTGTTGTTGTTTTCCTGCTGCTGTTTCCCGCTGTTGTTTCCCGCTGTCGTTTTCCCGCTGTCGTTTTCCCGCTGCTGTTGCTTCCCGTCGTTTCCCACCATCGTTCTCACGCTGCCGTTGTTGTTCTCCCATTGTTGTCGTTTTCCCGCTGCCGTTCGTTGTTTCCCGCTGCTGTTTCCCACCATTGCTGCTCTCCCGCCGTTGTTTCCCGCTGTTGTTTTCCCGCCATTGCTGCTCTCCCGCCGTTGTTTCCCGCTGTTGTTTCCCCGCCATTGCT